GAGTAGTGGATGCAAAAATGGTGCAGCTGCCGCAAGAGAGCAGTGACCGGGGAATATGTTCAGCACTGTCACACTGAAACAGCATGCTTTGCAGCAAGGTGATGTACCACCATCCCTTTTCAGACCAAGAAACAGCCTGGGAGGGTGGGAGGGGGGCACGGGGCCCCGTGGCCCCGCGGCCATGGCCTCTTCCAGTTGCGTCTGGGAGGTTGAAAACAGGTGAAGAAATTGGGAGGGGCTGAAAAAAGCAGCAGGGCAATGGAATTCCTGCCAGAAACCAAACACCTGAAAGTGGACCCCGTCACAGGAAATCGATGGAAATCCCGTCGTCTTTAGGAGAGTTCCAACGTGTTCCAACCACTCTGAAGTTCGCCCACCTTTGGGATCGTGCCACGTGTCATCGAACTGTTTTCCTCGCGGAAAAAAAGAAAAAGCGCGGCAACAGCGGCTGTGACAACGGCGATCGTCATCTCTCTCCCCGTCCCGTCTCTGGGCTGTCAACATTCGCGCAATTCCTGCAGTCCAGTCAGATCCGGAGCCGAGTTCAAGTGCTGCGCTCATCAAAGGAATCGGAGATCCCCACGATTTGTGTGTGCCCCCCTAAACAGATTGGAGGTCTTTTCATGAAGCAGCTGGAAATGGATGCCTGTTCTGCCCGGGATCCTCTTTTAGTTTTCTCCACCAAATGCACTATCCAGTTCAGTTGTGTCCACTGGGATCCAGTGTCCAAAGAATGTGCTCCCTTCACTCTGACATGGTGTGCAAAGCCTCGTTGCTAGTTGAACATCATTTCATGTGTGTCGCTTCTCCACGTTGGCTGGTGAGGTATCCGTGCGAAAGGGATCGCAAGCAATTGACCATTGTCAAGTGATCATTGTCAGTTGCGTCGAACCATTCTATTTCGGCGACATGTCCTCAGTGGACCCTTCGGAAAGGTGAGTTTTGAGAAGGTGAGACGCTAAGAAGCTGGTCTTCCCAGACTGCTTGCTGAAGGGAACCTGAATTGAAGTCACCACTGTCTCAGTCTCGAAAGAAATGCCTGGTAAGCTCTCAACTGGTCAGTCGCCGGTCTTTGGATCTCCACAGCTTCAAGCGAATGGGGGTAAAGACTGTTAAACGAATACCAGACATCCACCACTTCTGTGTCAGTGATCTTCTGATGCACTTCTGTGTCTGTGATGGGGACACAATCTGAGTCAACATCAATTGTCTTCCACTCCAGAGGTCACCGACGAACCCGACGAACCCGACGAACGGGAGCGGTCAAGCACCTCCAAAACTGACTAAGTAAGTACGGCTCTAGACTCTAGACAAAAATATCCGACCAGGTATATATATATATATATTTAATATTTTAATATACAGTATATTATATAGAGACTCTAATTGTAGACTGAACTTATGTTAGAAAAATTGTTGAAATGTCCTTCCATGGCTTCGAATTTCGACCCGAGAACGCGTCCCTGATCCACGGCCGAGCGACTGAAGTAGTTGTTGCCAGCCTGACAGGTCAGACATGGACGCACCCAAAGGATCTCAACTGGAAAGATCTGGGCTGCCAGAAGGGAAATTGAACTTTCTAAACGAAACAAGCGTGCTTCTTCGGTGTTCATTTTCTTGTTTTGAGGACCTCCTTCTCTTCCGGTGATCCGGTTCACCCCCAAGGCTCTGCTGGAACATCGACGTGGATTCAGAGTAGATGGCGCAAGTTACCCCAAGGTCGGTGGTTTAATGTGGTTTATATGGACCCCATCTGTCCAAGTGCTCTTGGGGTGCCAGTGCCATCGCCATTTCTCACCTCTGAATCCACTGTATGTATACAAAGCCCAGCGCTGACCCAAACCCCGATCTCCCGCTGTCTGTCACCCTCACTGTCCGTCTGTCTTGGCCCAATCCGCGCCGCATCCGTGTCTTCCTCAATGTCAGCCATGGTGATATCTAAGAAGATGAAGAACCAGTCCAAAGCCAGGACCTTGAATGACGGCCAGCAATCGGCAGTGTGACGTAGTCGGGAGTTGGACGAGCAAATGTTCAGGATAGGAGAACACAATGCAACACAGCTGCAAAGGTTTGAGCAGATGAGTTCACTGGTCATGGTCTACAACGACCTACAGCACCTTCCATAGGTCAACTTACGCATGACTAGTCAGTTCAGGATAGTTCAGGTATGGTGAGGTGATCGGTGATAATGCTCAACAGTACAATCTTGGGCCCTAGGAAATACACTGAGACACGCAAGCTGCAGCTGTTCTTTACAGAGACGGTTGGCAAAGCGTAGGAAGAAAAACAATCTGCACTCAGTCTCGAAGAAACATTGGAGTCTTCGATGGCTCCTTGTCCTTCGAGGACTCAAACTTCTGCAGTTTCTCGTTTGGATGCGGTTCTAAGAACACACGGCGTCCCGTCAATGTGGACCCATACGGAGCTTTGTTCTTATGTAAAATGGACGGTCGTCTAATGTTACCCTTGATGGGCCGATGACTCTTCTTCGTTGTTGCTGTGCATGTTCCTGCTCTGCTGGTATTGGTCGTCCTGCTGGTGTCACTGCCACTGTTTCTTGTTCTTGTTTGTCTTCGTCGTCTTCTTTTTCTCCTTACTTCTTCCTCCTCTTCTTCTTGTTCCTCTTCTTCCTCTTCTTCCTCCTCTTCTTCTTCTAGTTCTAGTTGTTGATACTGTATCATATCGTGGAAGTAAAACTTCAGTCACAGTTGAAATGACACCCTGGCTGATGGGAGTTCCTTGGCTTCTTCCGGTCAAATGAGTCAAATGAGCCGATTCAAGTCCATGCCACATGCCACTCTCATGTCCCGACCTCGATAGCGATCCCCAAATAGATAGTGGCACGGTTTCCAATACATTTGTGAAGATCTACTTTTCTATCTATTAAGGGGATCTATATATTCGTTATCCTATACTCTATCCCATTAACTTTGTACATTTTCTTGCATAACCACAGCTCTGGGTGTTGCAGCGCGAGGTTCTGCGCAATCGCAAGTGAGGTTTCAGCTCCTTTATGCTTAATTAGACGGACCAACAAGCCCACGTGAGGCTGGGCCCAGGGGTCTCACATCGGTGTGACTTCAAAAGGACACCCTTTTACTATAGAAATGTATTATTGTTACTAGTAGCGATGGCCTCCCTCCACCCTAATAGCTTCTTGCTACTAGAAAGCTGAAAAGTCAGACATACCGTCCAAAGATGTCCACAGATCCACAGATCGAGCTGTCGACGTACCGGGTGGACCATTGCTTCGTTCGCTGCAAGACCTGACGACCAAGCTCCCGAACACCCACATCCACGGCGAACCAGGTCCTCGACAGGCCCGCGCTGCGAAGACGAGCGCTGCTTTGAGAGCACACCGAGTTTTGGTGAGCTTTCCGGAGTGGTGAGGAAGCATGGCTCCACATGAGTGCAGGTGAAGATGCTGGTGTTTGTGGGAGGAGGCTGATGGCTCTCAGGAGGTTGAGGGGAGCCGCTGATGGTTGATCCAGGTGCACCCGTAGGCCCAGGACAAATGATATGCAATCATCTGCACATAAGAATGCATGCCGTCTGCGACGTCGCTTCCCCAAAATGGCTCCACCCCTCGCGCTTCCTGTCGGGGTGCCCTGTCTGGAGACCTGTTTAAAGTAGTGTGGAGATGTCCCAGGTGACCCCGCTCGGAAGCAGCTCGGAAGACCCGTTTTTTCAGGACCGAAGTCGGGATTTCCGAAGGTTTTGAGACGATCCGAGAAGGCGCCGAGGTTGGGGGGGCAACCGGCTTTCTGGGGTATCATGGCATCTTCATAAAAAAGACTAAAAAAGGTCCGAGGTGTGTGATCCGATCCCGCCGTGTTTTGTTTGTCAAATATCATGGCATCTTCTCTTAGAGGTGCTTCCTTTTGGACATCAACACCAGTCATGATGTTTGGAGCCAACCACTGAGAGATACATCAGTCGTCGGAAGCTCTGCTCTTTCTCAAGGAATGCAGTCTGGGCACCTCAAGTACTGCCATGCAATTTTCCACGGATCGATCACGATGTGCCCAGCACGGTAGAAGCCTTAGAGCGCAGAGGTGGAGCGCAGCATCGAGGGGCTCGCATGGAGTGTGAAAGGAATGGTTGGCGCCGTGGCCATTGTTTTTCCTTGTGGATGTGAATATCTAGCAGATGTAATACAAAATAAACATATATTTATATACTAATATGAACTTGTTTTGTTATATATATATCATATATAGTATAATATACTAACATAAAATAAAATGTAATATATAATACATGTGTAATCATTTTTATATGCTATATCAGATATATATATAATGTGTGTATTTGACGTTCACCCCACCCTACAAGAGCGGAAGCTGCATGAAAGCTGGTTGGTTGCGACATACTGAGACCTTGGTAAAAAAGAATCTTGGCAGCCAACTGTGTTTAAGCCATCTGCGATGAAGTGGGGTGGCTTAGACAGGCATCATGACATGTCCATCCGATCGATCTACGTATCGATCACCTGGGTTGGGCCGCAAAACCATGGTCTTTTGGGCAACTATCGGTCTTCCCGCATGTGGCATTGTCCTCCCCAACTTCGGGATCCATGGGACACTTTCAAGGCAAGTTCATCTCGCTTCGAGCAATTGGACGATTTTCTTTGAGCCCGCTCCCCCCATCCCTACTCAATTAAGTAGGCGCCTACTTATTTAAGTAAGGGAGAGGTAGCTAGTAGGTACAGGACGCTCCTAGGTAAGACGCAGGATAGCGAAGACGCTTCTTCAAGGAAACTCCCCCGCCGCCCTAAAGGCGAGGCAGCGAGGGAAGCTTCCTTGAAGAAGCGCTCGCACTAATGATGTGGTTTCTCGATTTTTGGGGAAACTTAAGCTACTAGTAACAAGTGCATCGCTAGTAGTAACAGGTGCCTTACTAGTAGTAACAAGGTTCGCTACAAGTAACAATAAGCTACTAGATTGTTAGGGAAACTTAAGATTAGAACTTCGCACGACGACTTCTCCGGGGCCGCCTTGTTTTCACTCCGCCTCTAGAGCCTCCAAGAACTTGGCACTGTGCCGTGGGCGGATCGCTGGCAGGCCAGGTGCCTCCTGCATGCAAGTAGTGTGAAGCAAATCCTGAAAAATTGTGGCCGTCTAAAACCCATTGAGTTTAAAATACATCTGCTTCATTCTTCTTCCAGGAAGTATAGAAGTACGTCTTCTGACCCCCAGCCAAGATCCACATCGTTAGAGGATCCCAGCTCGGAGTTCTGAGTTTTTCGTTCCTCGACAGACCTGCGCTTAGACCACCAAACGTGAAGGAACACGGAGTGTCTGTCATTACTTGGAGCTGTACTTCCTGCAATACCTCGATTTTTCGGGCCCCACGTCCACACGAAACCCCATGTCAGACCTGCGGCAGGGTGGCGGGGTGTTGCTCTGTGTTCGAATCCCAAGAGCCTCCCACAAGCCTTAAAGAGATTCTCAAACAATCATTCCACCCGAAGCTAGAAATGTTCCAAGAGAGCTTGAGAAACCATATAGGACCCTGTAGTGGTACATATGGGATGGGCTATAGGGCTGTTCAACCTCTCTTGGTTGGTGGCAGGAATAAAGCGGATCACCACATCACCACTGCGGATCACCTCGGATCAGAATTTTTCATCCTGAAGATACAGTCAGAGGAAGTGATGATCGCTGAGACCTGTAGAGGAATGAGATGTGGGTATGGGAGCTGGAAACTAGAGATTTTGAGTTGAGTTTCCCCTTTCCAAGGGATATCGTTGCTGCAGAACTGGTCCATTCATTGCACGCAACGCGTGCATTCACCCGGCGGATATGACGTGTGGGTCGTTTGGTCCAGAGTCGTGTGGGTCGCCTTCCCTGCCACTCTCACGACACGACCCGACACCCGACATGTCGTGTTTCGGTAGGTCTCTCAGGACGGGACTGATGCGACGTTGCTCCAAGAACACAGAAGCACCAGCACCTGGCTTTGGGCGTTTTGGCGAGGCAAGTGCCGCCCGCCGGAACTTGGCCCCCCCATCGGGGGTTGGAATCCGATTTCGGATGGAATGCAGCGGTTTCGGCTGCCCGTAGGTTTCGGCTGCCAAGTGATAGACATCAAGAAAAATCAAAAAATATAAGAGATGGACATAACATGACATGACTAAAGGAAATCACTACCAGTAGCCACCCATCCAGTCCAACACTCACTGCATTGAGATTCATCAAGAAGAAACGCTCAGACAGCCAGCGGTAGAGATGGTCATGTTCCAAACCTTAGCACACGTCTCTGGGCATCTCATCATACTTTTTTGCTGTAAAAAACCAGCTTACCGGGCCCCCATCTAGCTCTACTCCTCCAAAACCACACCATCCGAAAGCATGTATTGCTTTCACCTGGAAAGATCGTGGAGCTCCTTAGGCCAAGATTCCAAGCATTTGCATACCAAGAATCCAGTTTTCTATGCTTCTTAGAACGGTCTTGACTGGCGCCTGTTGACTGAGTTGGAAGGAACAAGGGTTTCTGATCCCAAAGATAGCCCACCTTCACTGGTTGCACCCGCTGGAAAGGTAAAAAATGGCTTTGCTTCAGAATGAACAATGGTTTTGTTGTACAGACCATAGATGCACGAACCGGGAGTCTCTGAATCCCACCGGGAATCCCACCCAACTCTCGACAACTCGCCTCGTTATAGCGGAAGCCGCCGGTGTGGTCCAAAGAGGCACCCAAGGAGGGGCACAGTGCCAAGCGCAGTCCAGGCCGCTCCTGCACCGAAAAAGGTATGCTACAGGCAGATGGGGTAGGTTTCCACCAAAAGAGGGTCTATGAGATTTACATGTTTTTGCCCGAAAACCCTGCTGCACCCTGTAAGGCAGCTACGCTGACTGACGTGGGCCAAGTCAGCAACATGGTGACAAACCTCCGTTTTCCGTACTCTGCACGGATATCCCAGCGCAGGATCTGCTCTGCCTCTCCTTCTCCACGTGTTGTGCAGCTAAAAGCACCAGCTCCGCCGGTCCTGCGCCCACGAAGCGGAAGCACCTCATGTCGCCGAGACTAGTGACTAGGCAGCCGAGGCCAAAGTTTGGTCGACCTTAATGGGGATTATGAAGATTAAGAATTTCAAGTTCATTAAAATGTTCTAAGGTGCTGCTGCAAAAAACTCAGCATGCGGCCTTCCACTCTTCCTTCTCTGAATCTCACACAAAAAAGCTGGTATCAAACAAACTTACTGACCCAGCCACTCACAGGACCATTCAATATCAAATGACTCCTTCCTGCAGCAGCTCTTGTCATTTCTACATTGAGGTAGCTCGAAGCCCCTAGTCCCCTGGTCCTTCCCATGCCTGTATCAAAGCTCTGCACACTGCAATGTCTAAAATTGTGTGTATATATTATATGTTTTTTGCTTAACACACACAAAAACAAAAACAACAATCCTGCCTTCCTCAGCCTCAGCAACCTCACGACCGCTTCGTTCGCTCACACCCCGTTGCCGCCGCAGGAAACGACCACGCTCAGCCCCAGGTGCTCTGCAAAGTGCTCGAGGGCGGCTTCGCCTCCGTCCAGCTGGTGGAGGATGCCTTCGGCCAGGCCAGGCCACGAGGACTTCTTCGTGACCTGGAGCGAGCGACCCGCCCCGCCCGCGCCGCCGGTGGCGGTGCCCGGCATGGACGAGTCGTGCGGACGTCCGCGGTCCATTGACTTCTCTGAATTGACCATTAGGGGGCTGGCCAAGATGGAAGGCAGTGGCCCACATGGTCGAACGCATCCGGGAAATGTCCAGAACAAGGGACCACGTGGCAGCCCATAATTGGCAAAGGACTCAAACAGAATTCCATAGAATTCCCCGACTTATGTGTGCGTGATCGTGGGCCCAGGGGAGCAAAAGCGCAAAGCGGCAGTTTGGTCAATCCAGTCCATGTCAAGCCATTGCTAGAGTCAGAGGAGGGTAGGGTTGGTGTTCGGGAGGTGCTTGGCATCCCCATTCTATGGGGTATTGAAATGGGAGGATTCAACCCACATTGACTGAAGCAGAGCAACCGCTTGTCCTTGGTATTTGACATGTTGACATGCTGGAACTGGAGAATACTAGATGAGAACAAAAAAAACAAGTCAAACAACTGCCCTTCTCGCTTCACATCAACACAACACATGCGGTTCCTCACCACCTCAGCCTGTTGGCCACCTCAGCCTCAAACTTACATGGCCACGCACCATTCATCACTTACATCTTCACAACCAACACACATGTCCGATATCGATATGTTGAAACTTCCACCCACCGGCTCCGCAGCAAAAAAGCGAAGCGAACCCTCTGCATGAGACAAAAACACGCAAACATGTCTGGTGACTGAGACTTGCGACTTGCTTCATCCAAGACATGACAAATTGAACACAAGCAAATGGCCTTGGGTCATCTACCTTCACCTTCAAACCTCGCGATTGTCCTACCAATCTTGCTGAGCCTGGATGAAGGTTTAAGAGGTGTATGAGGCCTCTGGTTAATCCTCTGAGGTGTACCGATCAACCCCCATTCTGAGGTGGAGTCCCTCAAAACACCTCCAAGCTTGGATTGATGGTTGACGCCTGGTCACTGGTTGAAAGGTGATCTTCCGTGTAACAGCGCTGTTGAGAGGCGTTAAACACCCTGAACTCGTTCCGGCCGTCGTCTCAGTTTCCGCATGTCTCCGGTGGCTCGGACCCAGCCGCGTCTAGCCGAACCATCCAAATGGACCCAGTCGTGGCCGCCAGCAATGTGGACAAACGGATGCGTCCAGCAATTAGATTGGGTGGAGAGCTTCTCCAGTACCGCAACCTGAGTCTGCACCTCTGAGAATAGAATCAATAAGCTACTAGGAACAAGTGCATCGCTACTAGTAACAAGTGCCTTACTACTAGGAACAAGAAGCTAGTAGAAACAATAAGTAAATAATGATCCTTTCGCCCTGTCTGCACCCCTGTATTTCAAGCGGCCACTTGCACAATACTGTCGCTGACGAGAGGTGGTTCTAGAAGCCTCGCCACCCGAGCGCCTGGGTGACGAACGCAAGGACGGGGACGTGTTCTTAGCATGCTTTCTTGTGTCTCTTGTTTACTCCAGTCAGATCACCTGGGTGAATGTGCAAAAAAAACAGACTACAAGCAAATTGCTGCTTGTCCCAAGGCCACCTAGTTAGTAACCACAACGCATCCTTTCGACCTTGATGAGACCAAAAGGAGCAGCCAGTGGTTCAGACCGTGCTCCGGGCTCTCTCACCCGACTCCACCTGCCGTACCCAGCGGCGCAGCTCACAGGGCGTGGACAGTGTCGTGGCACGGAAGTGGTCCAGGCGCAAGCCAAGCGCACCAAAACCTGCGAGGAAACGAAAGCTAGCAGTGTCGGTCGGTTAGACCCTGGCGTTTTTTGTGAAAACGCACACCTGGCAGTCTGGCAGCAGGGTATGTGCGGTTCTTAGGCTGGTCGGACACATGGGTGTTTTCACCCAATCAGTTGAGCGTGAAACACAGAATTGCGGGATGTCGTTTTCAGAACATGAAAAGAACTCCACATGAGATCACATAAGTGCATGAAACAGGAACATGCATGCCGCCTCCAGGTTCTTTCAGGGACCCTTCGCACCACAAAACCCTATGCCTGGAAGGTATCCAGTGCACTTTTGTAGGTCAGCACCTGGCAGATGGACAGCGAGTGAAGCAACTTCGAACACGAAGACACCTATCTACAGGCCTTAAATAGACCCCCCTCTCCCAGTCAAAAAAGAAGGCCCAACAACTTGCGGCCAAAACAGGCTCTCTGAAGGCGTTGGCCTCAGGTTCTTCACATGGTTGAAGTCTTCAACCACCGAACACCGCTCAATCAACACCAATCACCAAACCGGTTCCACAAGACGATCTCCGGTGGGCACCCGCGAGAGACAAGATCCGGAGGCTCTTCTCCGCGACTTTCAAACCAGATGCTTCCAGTTGCACCTGTGCCGCAACTCGCGAGAGGGCGGAGATTTGGGCAAATGTGGGAAGGGTAGAATGCTCAACATGAGGCCTGAGTGATAGTGAATTCAGGCTTGAGAATGAGACAATGTGGCGAAATCGTAAGAATTAGCATGCAAAAGCGCTCCGAACCACTCCCCAGAATCTCCATTAATTATCATTAATTATTGTTTCCGGATTATCTCTGCTCGTTACTGCACCTCTTTGGTTCCCTCCTCACCCAATTACATGTTCACAAGAAGCCACTCATTCAAATTGAATATCACAAAAGGATCAATGATTCCTAAGGGTTTGTGGAACAACCCATCCGCCTGTTTATTGGTTCCACTCAAAACTAACCTCCCAACGGGATCCCCAAAAGGAACAATTTCACAATTGTTGTAGTCAAGGGGGGTGATCATGAGGACGCCTTCACCGCCTTCACCATGTTAGTCTGGGACTACCCTGAGGGCAAGCCACCGCGCTAAAAAGGAAGAACCACTACCTCTGCATGAAGTAAGATTTGGAGCGTTGGCTTCGTTTTCTTTGGAACACAGGGCCATAGTCAGTCCAAAAAGAAAGTACACCTTTTGCAATCTTTCTGTGCATGTCCTGTCTATTAATAAAGTGGGGCTGAACATACGGTGCATTGGCATTCCAATCCACTCACTCATCCACTGCACTCATCTCCTCGCGCCTCAGATCCCCGGTTGTTTCTTTTATCCGTCCTGTTCGCCCCGCTCACGTCCCAGCGGCCGTGCACCGAAAGACGTCGTACCTCGGGGTCCCGCTTCAGGTGCTCAGTGAGTTGCCCAGCCGTCTCATAGACACAGGAACTCGTCCGCACCTGCAGAAGCGGTGCCGGAGCCGTGAATCCGCCGAGTGCCCGGTCGTCGGCCGACGAACGGATACGCGTGAGCCGCGTGAGCGGCCCATGTTCCTGTTGAGGGACTCCGGTGAGCGGTGGGCCATGTCACGCTGTGCCACAAAATTGAAAAAATATCTTGTCGTGGGACCGTTAAGATTTTTTTGCGGGAAAAGTGTTGCCCAGGATTTGGCCTCGGGCTTCGACTCCTCCCTGCCCGTTCCGCACCCCTGCGGACAGAGGGCATAAATCACACGTATGCTAGATTGTGTTTCTTAATTGTCTGTTGCCACGTTGTGTTTGTTGAGATAACACATCAACACCTGACCGAGGCTGAGGCGGGCTGTGAACACCCATAACACACATGTGACACGTGGGAGATCTTATTTGCCTCTCAGGAGACCAGCTGATACTGTGCTCAGCCAACTTTCGGTGGAACTTTACCAGCCACCAACATACCAAAACTCTGCTTTTGAGAGCAAAGGAGGTCTTTCTCTTCACCTGAGTCTGCAGGTGCCCAGCGAAGAAGAAGAAGAAGAAAAGGAAGAAGAAGAAGAAGAAGAGCTGCGGCGCTCCAAGAAGAGCTTCCACTGCGACAGTGCCGCTTTTTGGGTCTTGGCTCACTGACTTGACTAGAAAACGGACAAAATCTGAAAGCAGTCTCAGGTCTTCACCGGCCGGGTCAGGTCTTCAGTCTCCATCGCACTGGCCTTCAGCTGGGGAACTGATAAGCCGCGCGGAGCTGCGCGCGTGGCGCGCGGAGCTGCGGGGCGGAGCTGCGCGGTCGCCATGAGGCATTCGTGAGCGGTAGGCGGTCGGCGGTTTTTGCGGCGGCCTACGGGGCCTGCGGGGCCCAATTTGAACATGTTTAATCTCGCAGCAGCTTGGTATTTGAGGATAGCAGCAGGTAGCAGCACCTTACACATGTTGATCATGCCTTCATCTGAATTCATCAGAAACCACATGCTACTCGACATGACGTATTACTATCAGTTATGTCACGTGTTCATGCGGATGACCTACCAATTCATGTCCAATCCAAAAGTGATGGGATTGCGTCATCCTGACGATGCATGTGCAGTCTCCTTGTTGTCGGCTCCACCCTGATTCTAACATAGGATGTGTATGTGTTATGCTTGGAATGTGTATGTGTTATGCGTCACATGGCCGTTGGAGGTCCAATTCCGGGATGTCGAGAGGGATTGACCTGAAAACCACGGAGTTCCTGTTTCTTCTCTCAACGACATGACGAGGTTTGCTCTAGAAACCAGAGTGGGCACAGAGTTGGCTCTACGGATCTTGGCAAATGGAGCTCGCAGCCTATGTTCAAGCCAACAGGTGCTGATACTATCCTAGCTTACGGGATTCTGAGATGGATGAGTTTGGCCTGCGTACAGCAGGCAGCAGCTACGCCAGAAATCCGTCTGGGATGCGCACATCCTACTTGAGCCAAATCTTACAGCTGGTGCTGAACCTTCCATACTTCGGGTTGGTACCAATTCCTTTCCAGAGCTGGTTCAGCCAAGTGGCTTCGGCTGCACATCTGAATCACACGTTCTTTCAGTTCCCTCGCGCCTTTGACCAGACTGCCCACCCAATTCTACTTCGAAAAAACACACCATCCTCCCAGAAATCCGCTCAGCTGCTGTGCTGAGCACACCAGACGCAGAGCGCTGGCGCTCTGGCACAGCGCCCGAGGTCGCCCGAGGTCGAGGCCAAGGAAGAAATTGGTTGGAAAGTCGATGGTCCAAAAGACCGTCGAAACCCAGCCTCAGAGCGCATGAAATTCGATGCGCATGAAGGTCGATGACCGTCTTCGGCCGTCTAGTTGCTGTAGTTGTGTCAGTCACACAGTAACTGGTATACGTCATGGTTAGTTGCTTCCTTAGTCAGTTGGTTTGCTGGTTGATTTATCGGTTTGTGAATTAGACTTAACCTACTTGACCACTATTATACTATTACCATTTGTTTGTACCATATTAGAATACCTATATTATATTGTGCAGATATACATATAACATCATATAACATGACTTGTTGCTTCTCTGTCGTTGGTTTCTTTCATTGCTGGCTGGTGTCTACATGTCCCTCTGTCAAGGTTAGTCGATCTGGTCGGTCAGTCGGTCAGTCGGGCAGTCGGGCAGTTGGCCGGTTTCGGTTGAGATGTTTGATGGCTGGTTGGCTCATGTGATACTTTTCTGCAGTACATCAACAAATCGGTGAACAAATTGATGCTCTCAGTGTCTTTTTTACTGTAGTCAGATTGTTTCCTCTGTCAGCTAGTCACTGATGAGTATTCTGCAAGCGCATGGGTTCGCGGATAAATACTTGATTTGTCACTTGCGTAGGTGAACAAACACTGTAAAGTTGTGTATAGATATCATTCCCTCAACTGGAAGCTCATGTCCTCAGGCCACCAGGGATGGAGGTCTTTCGTAAGTGGTGATTTCTACTGAGATAGGATCCAAAAACTCCAATGAAGCCTAAAATGGACCCTTTTCCACTGTGGGGTTGGTGGCAGTTTTCGGAAGGAATTCCAACTTCGTCTGCACCGGGGAAAAAAACCGGACTTTCAAGGAATGGAGACGTCTGCGGATCTTCGTCCGGATGCCGGCGTGGCGTCTGCGTAGGCGGGGCGTCGGCGGTCCTTCACCTATCTCTATCTCCAGGCGGCTCATGATGTACGGCGTCACGATATCGGTCAACCTCGCACCGGTCTCGGTGGACAAAATCAAGACGCGATGGGTTGGACGATGGAGTTCTGCTTGGACGATGCAAAAACAAGGATCGGTCAAGCAGTAAACGCATGGTAAACACAGCCCTCAAACCTCAAGGGAAATGGTCACAAAAGGTGAAGTCCAAAATTCCAGTGACAAGAAGAGAAAATTTGTGCGAGCTTGGTTGATGAACAGTGCTTCAAGGGTAGAAGTGGATGTGATCGACAAGGGAACAAGGCTACACTATATTTATGTATATAGATATAATAGATACAGTATACGATGACTTGCGCGGGTCATCTGGGAATATCTGGGAAACCATTTTCAGTATGTACAGTATAATATATAATAATATACTATACAGCAGCATGTGTCTATTTCCTGGATCACTTGCGGATTTGGTTTCGGTCAATGACCCCGGCCCCACATCAAAGGCTTCCGAGGTCCGAACCCCGGTGCAGGGGATTTTTGGCATCCGAGGTGCTTCAAGAGACATGGGCCCATGGGGATGTCCTTCAAAGGATGAATCCGAATCGACCAAGGACATCACTGGGGATTCCACTCCATGGGGTATGTTTGCTCACATGGTGCTGGGGATGTCACATGGTTTTTCAGAATCCCCAGCCAAAACGAGCAGCTCCGGTCTCCGAGGACGCGGCGCGCTCGGTGGTGCTTTCTGATCAGTGCCCGCCCCTCTGAGGGTCCCACTCAAATGCATTCATTGGAATTGCAAAAATGTCCTCAGTGCAGCCGCCATCAAATTCTTGCAGAAAGTTGTTGGGTTGTTGTCATGGGCAGTCATTATATACAATGACAATTGTGGATATTAAATATTCAGCGACGCCGACAAGAGCAGAATCAAAATGAAGCAAGGTAAAACGATTCACCAGCTTGTTCACTGTGTGAGATTGCTTTGACTCCACGTATTTTACCATGTTTTTCATCACGGGTACTGTGGCCTAGATATGATTGGAACACAGTGAGCACCAAAATATATTGGTTGTATTGGTTTGTGATATTCATGTCCCACCGAAGGCCAAAAAGTCATCAGGATGCTTTGACACATCACCACAGTATTGAAACCTGCATTCAGTTCTCTCAGTTCAACCAAATGCTTGGCCCCACGTGTTGCAGAATCCGGAATCACCAAGAGTAGAACCTGTTTCAGCGACAAAAGGTGAAATCAAACGATTGACAACAGGTTTCAGCTACGGCAGTGTGCCAAGGGGGACGAAAGGTAGGCATTTAACATCTTGCTGCAGTCGTAGAAAAGCTGCGTTGGGCTTGAGCGACCTGTTCTAAAGTTGTTTTTTCCTTGTTCAGGAATGCTTTTTGCCACTTTTGTCAGTTTAGCTTGCTGCCTGACCCTTCGCTCTCAAAATGACATGACGAGAGACTTCCTACGGTGGGGATTTTTTCCCAGGTGGGTCCTGCATCACCAGGGTTCCATTGTGTTCCATTGTTCAATGAATGGGTTTAAGGGAACATCTGCAGGAAGCCCTTAGTTTTCACCCCAAAACTATAGATGTTTTCCTGTAGATCTTCCCTTAAACCAATTCTGGGAATGGATGGGAATTGTATTTTTCATGGTCGTTTTCCTTCTTTTCTCCTTCCTCAGTCAAGGAGCCCAAATCACCAGGCATAAGCCGCAGAGATCCCAAATCCTGAGTGCCACAGTGCCACGGTGCCACGATCTCCTTTCCGGAGCGCCTTTCTTCTTGGGGAATACAGTATGGTGAATACAACCCGTGCGTACACTTTCGGAAGAAGGAAGCACATATTCACACAACAGGAACAATGTGTGCATTCCGGAACACAACGGATTGACATAAAGTGATGAAGAGTCTTTGCTTGGAACATCATTGAACAGAATCAGAAATCACCTGCAAAGTATACTGTCACTGTACAGTGTGTGTGTGTGTGTGTGTCAGTCTAACAAGCCAACCACTACAATACTATAAGATAAGAACAAGGAACACGTACAGCCAGGTAGGCTGTATTATTCAAACGATAAAGAAACAGATTAAATACGCAGCTGTAGCAGTCATGGGCCAGGATAAAGAATTCCAGAAGGGCAACACATCACACCAGGCAGGACAACACACGGTACTGTACCCGCAACTCCACCCTCAACCTTCCATAGAACGAATGAATCGGTTCATTTTGACCCGGTGGCCCACCAGGGTCCACCGGATTGGATCCACACAGCAAGACCAGCTCTGGCAGCTCAGGCGCATCCTCCGTCGTGAGGAGGGTGAGGTCACCAAGTGCTTCCTGCGTGTGTCAGGACCAGGACTGGGAGTACAAGTGCTAACCCAGTAACTACAGTACTGCTCCAGAAAACTCACATGGACCCTGAGAAGGGGACCCTGAAAGACGGGTTTCCTCTACAAACCAGTGGTTTTCAGTGTTCATGTTAGTGATTCCAGCACTGCTCCGTCCGGAAGCGTCGGACCAGAACCAGGACCGGGTTTCAACGCCGAATCCCTCGAATCTACGCCGAATCGTCGCCGGGATTCGGTGTGGGGAAAAAGGGAGGACATGCTCACCTTTCATCAGCTTTTGGATGGTTTTGAGATGGTTTGAGTCCATGCTCCCGGTCATCAATGAGTGGAATTCTGCCATTCACACAAAAATTATGGTGTTCTCATGGTGTAGTGGATCATCGCGGTGTATCATGTCTGCACTTCATACCATCGTGCAACCACCGGGAGACCGGACACCCGCAGACAGTCTTTGGATGTTGCTTTGACCAAGCGTGGGATGCTATTCCGGCGATCCTTCAGCTTACAAAATCGATGCGTCTGATTCTGCGCGACCGACCTCTGCGTGACGGACCTGGCGAGTCAAAACTCGCCCTGAGTTCCGACGTGACGAAACGCTTCGCCCCCTTCGGCGGAACCGGACGCGCTTCGACCGACGCTTCGACCGGTCCGGAGGTCGACCGCTTCGCATGCGCCCGATCCGCCTGTAGAAACGGTGACAGGGCGCCGATGCGGTCAACTTCTCCTGGTCGCACGGACCGACGGACCGGTCCGGCGAAAGGGAGACGATGGCGGTCCGGGCTCCGGGTGAACGAAGCGAGGTCCGGAGACGGAGCCAACACCGGGGGATCTGGTTGAGACAGAAAGAG